TGTTCTTTGGATGCCTTTTGTGCCAGATCTTGTTTCTCTTGAACTGTTTGGATTTCTTTCATTACTTTTTCTGTCATTTTTTCCAGAAGTTCCTTCAGATTATGTTCCTCAAGTAGTGAGGCTCTTCTAGCTGATATTTTTGTTTCCTTTTGTTCCTTTTCTGTCTTTTCCAACTTGTCCGTCTTATCTGTCTTGTCCGTCTTGTCTGTCTTCTCTGTCTTATTCCTTGTGTTGTACATTTTGTTGTATTTTATGTACTGTGTTTGTCCTTATAATTATCTTCCACTTCCACTCTTCCTGATCTTCTCTTGGAATTCCTCTTTTTTGGTTCTTCTCCGTCTTTGGTTGTCTGGGGACTCCCTAGGTTCCTTTTCTTTCTTATTCCTTTTTCCTTTTATTTGCCTCCTTCTCCGATTCGTTTCGCGCTTCTCTCCTCGTCTCCTCTGCGTCCCTTTCCTCTTTTTTCTCTTTTATATGCTTTCTTCTTCGTCTCTTATTTACTTCCTTGTTTGACTCCTTGCAGGTCTCGTCCCGTTCTCGCGCTATCTGCTCTCCTCTCCTCTCGCGTTGTCTTTTTTTCTTTTCGCGATCTCGCGTCTTCTTCTCCCTATACTTCCTGGTTCCTGGTTCTTCTCTCGCTTCTCTTTTGTCCTATCGCGAGATTACGTTCTTCTCGCCAAGTCCCCTCTTCCTCTCGCGGGATCCTCTCTTCCTCTGGCTCTAGTCTCGCTTCCCCCTCCTACTTCTCCGCTCTGCCTCGCGATGCCTCGCGATGCTCCTTCCTTTCTCGGCTTCGCAGTCCTGCCTCCTCCTCCTTTGAGCCCCCCCGCACTTCTTATCTTGCAGGCAACACAAGCCTCCTTCAAGGTCAGTTTTATTATTTTTTTTCCTTTTTCTCTGCTTTATCTGGTGTCAGATTGCAGTATTATTGCATCAGCTCATAGGATCCTTATAGTTAATGTTGGATTATTTTAGTTTTATTTCCCCGAATTTCTTCAATTCCTTCCAATTCCTTTCTCTTGCTATATGTGTTCTATGTGTTATATAGCAATATAGCAATATAATGTGTTATTTAGTCTTATTATTTTCCAGTATTATTTTCCGGTCTTTCCTTTCTTTCCTCTCCACTCTTCCTTTCTCTTCTTGTACCTTTTTTTCTTATTATTTTTCCTCTCTTTCCCTCTATTTCTTTTCTAATTCTTCCAGTTCATCCAGTTCTTCCAGTTCTTCGATCTTATAGCTTTTTTCCCTCACTAGTTCCTTAGGTCTCACCGAACTTCTGTTTCTCCTATCTGTATAGAACTTATTTCCCTGTTTACTTCTGGATCCTTCTGGATCCTCTTTTCCTTCTTCTTTTTCTATTCTTCACATAAAACCTCTTTTTTTCTTTGAGGGAAAGATTTCAAGCCCTCTTCCGACACCCCCTCCTTCCTTATAGTTGTTCTTACCTCCTCCTCTCCTTTTCTTCTTATTTAAAAGAGCATGCGGCCGGAGATATGCAGGCTTCTGTCTGCTGCGTTTAGGGCTATCCGCCGTACCTCGGGGTCAATACCGGGTCCTTCTCTTGAGGAGAAGACCCCCTTTCGGACCGTCGGCTGACCCACCCGGTTTCGCTGTTCCCCACTGCCTCGATCCACAGCGGGGAAGGGAGCCAAGCTCTACCCGATCAGCCCCATCGCTCACACACTTTTGCAGAGCTCTAGTGTGTGCGACTCTCCGCCATGACCATGCACCCGGAAGTCCCATAAACACCACAGGGGTTTTAACCCTTCCCTATGCTATCCAAAGCATGCTATCCAAACCTATAGAATCCATGTTTTCTGTGCCTTGGGGGTCTGCCTGTAATCCAATAATCTACAAATCTATAATATAGAATACAATCTAACTTCAATTGCCCTCTTCTCGGGGTGCATTTATACTGTAGAATTAGTGCCATCTAACACCACTTTAGCAGCCATGGCTGAATGCAGAGCTTTGCAAACACTTCATGTGGGTGGCACATCTTTTTAGACATATATCATTTTGCGACACAGTGATTCGGTTTTAATAGCAAACTGGAAGTTTAACCAACTCCTTATAAGAGATACAGACACATACATAAAATGCAGTAACAAAATGTAAGAGGACACAGTGTATCGTATTAAAATATTTCATTTATATTTTAAATATATATTATTTATTGCTTATAGATCATTAAGTTTGCGCAACACATACTGCAGCCAACCCAAATATGTCAGCACACACAGTTTGGGAATGCTATGGAACCCTGGGAATTGGTTTTTCCTTTCAATCATTTTAACTCAAAATTTTAAGAGAGACAGTTAAATTTACAACAACAATCTTTATGCTTGAAGTTGTTGTTTTGGTGAGGCACCAGGAATCTTTGGCGAAGAAGACAAAGAATTGAAGCTGTAAAACTACAACTCCAATGATTCCCTAGCACTTGTAGTGGTGTCAAATTGCATTAATTCTACAGGCTCCATCTAAGGCCCCATCTACACTGCTAAATAGTCCAGTTTCAGAATGTAGATTAATTGCATTGAACTGGATTATATAGCAGCGTAGACTCAAACAATTCAGTTCAATCTGTATTATGTGAGTCTACACTGGCCATTATAATGCAGTTCAAACTAGATGACATAGCAGTGTAGATGGGACCCATGGCACCCTTAGGATCAGTACCTTTAAAGAACACACATATTTTAATGGTAAGCAGTACAATGAATTACCAGGGGTTATGATATTTGGAACACCCTGGACTACGATTGTTGGATTGTGTGATTTTAATGTTTGTATTGATATGTTTTAATTCCATGTTTTAATGTTAAATGATGTCATGTTTTATGATTTAACTAGCTGTTCCCTGCCACACATTGCTGTGGCCCAGTCTGTGTATATGTGTTTTGTGTATGTATATATTTGTGTATACATGTGGCTTTGTGCATGCGTTGTAATGTATTTTTTATTTTTCAGCTTTTAAAGTCTCTTCCGCTGTGTTTATCAGTGTTTTTATGAGTGATGGTCACTCATTGGCCTGATATGTGTATTGTGTCCAAATTTGGTGTCAATTCGTCAAGTGATTTTTGAGTTATGTTAATCCCACAAAGAAACATTACATTTTCATTTATATAGATTGATAATTGTATGTTATTATCATTATATTAGGTTTCTGTGTGTGAGGTATCAAATTTTACTATAATTATGTTGGAAACTGCTTTGAGTCCCCCGCTGGGGGAGAAAAGCGGTATACAATGAAGTAAATAATATGTTGTCAAAGTCTTTCACGGCCAGAATCACTGGGTTGCTGTAAGTTTTTTGGCCTGTATGGCCATGTTCCTGAAGCATTCTCTCCTGACATTTTGCCTTCATCCATGGCAGGCATCCTCAGAGGTTGTGAGGTCTGTTGGAAACTAGGAAAATGAAGTTTATATATCTGTGGAATGTCCAGGGTGGGAGAAAGAACTCTTGTCTGTTGGAGGTAGGTGGCCAATTGCAACATTCACACTTGCCTCAAACTGACAAAGAGCCCTTTCTCCCTATCTGGACAATCCACAGATTTATTTATTTATTTATCGTGTCATCAGCAACCATACCATTGTATTACATTTCTAACAGAACAAAACAAACACACAGATTAAAAACCCCCACAGATTTTGCAAACTTGGTAGTTGGTTAAATGTCCTTTGACCAGTATCTGGCCACTTGGAGTGCCTCTGGTGTTGCCGCAAGAAGGTCCTCCATTGTGCATGTGGCAGGGCTCAGGGTGCATTGCAGCAGGTGGTCAGTGGTTTGTTCTTCTCTGCACTCGCATGCCGAGGATTCCACCCTGTAGCCCCATTTCTTAAGATTGGCTCTGCATCTCGTGGTGCCAGAGCGCAGTCTGTTCAGCGCCTTCCAAGTCGCCCAGTCTTCTGTGTGCCCAGGGGGGAGTCTCTCATCTGGTATCACCCATGGATTGAGGTGCTGGGTTTGGGCCTGCCACTTTTGGACTCTCGCTTGCTGGGGTGTTCCAGCGAGTGTCTCTGTAGATCTAAGAAAACTATGTCTTGATTTAAGTCGTTGACGTGCTGGCTGATACCCAAACAGGGGATGAGCTGGAGATGTCTCTGCCTTGGTCCTTTCACTATTGGCTGCTACTTCCCGGTGGATGTCAGATGGTGCAATACCAGCTAAGCAGTGTAATTTCTCCAGTGGTGTAGGGCACAGACACCCCGTGATAATGTGGCATGTCTCATTAAGAGCCACATCCACTGTTTTAGTGTGGTGAGATGTGTTCCACACTGGGCATGCATACTCAGCAGCAGAGTAGCATAGCGCAAGGGCAGATGTCTTCACTGTGTCTGGTTGTGATCCCCAGGTTGTGCCAGTCAGCTTTCGTATGATGTTGTTTCTAGCACCCACTTTTTGCTTGATGTTCAGGCAGTGCTTCTTGTAGGTCAGAGCACGGTCCAAAGTGACTCCCAGGTATTTGGGTGTGTTGCAATGCTCCACTGGGATTCCTTCCCAGGTAATCCTCAGAGCTCGGAGTGCTTGTCTGTTCTTAAGGTGAAAGGCGCATGTCTGTGTTTTAGATGGATTAGGGATCAGCTGGTTTTCCCTGTAATAGGCAGTGAGAGCACCTAGAGCTTCGGAAAGCTTCTTTTCAACCAACTCAAAGCTTCCTGCTTGAGTGGTAATGGCACGATCATCAGCATAGATGAAACTCTCTGTCCCTTCTGGCAGTGGCTGGTCATTTGTGTAGATGTTGAACATGTATGGAGCAAGCACGCTCCCCTGAGGCAGGCCGTTCTTCTGTTTCCACAGATATATAAACTACATTTTTCTAGTTTCCAACAGACCTCACAACTTCTGAGGATGCCTGCCATAGATGCAGGCAAAACATCAGGAAAGAATGCTTCTGGAACATGGCCATACAGCCATGTACAGCCTGGAAAACTTACAGCAACCTAGAAGTAAATAAATAATGAGGGGGAAGAACCCAAACAGTGAAGGATCCTTACCTTGAGCTCTATTTCCTTCTGCCCTTCTTTTGCTGCCTGCTTTTAAAATAGGGATTTGGAGCAAAGCACTCTCAGTCTCCAAAAATGCAGGGAATGTAGGCGTCCATCAATCAATGAAAACTTGACTGGATCTTGTTGAGGGGTTTGTTTTTTTGGGTGGGAAAAACAACAGTCCGCCCAGAGGAAAGAGTTTCCACAAAACAAGACTTTTAAGGAATGAACTGCGAGGAAACAAAAGGAAGGAGAGGGTGGGCTCTCACGATGCTATCAGCAGAAAAGAGGGCAAGGCAGAGACTTCCTTGGCTTTGCCCCTTAGAGGCGTGGGTTTGGGTGGGTGCCCGCCCACCTCCACTGCACAATGAATGCAGGCTGGCTCCATTTTTCACTGCCGTGCTAAAGAATGGAGGGAGTTATACTTTGGCAAGGGGAGGCGAAAGGCCTTGTGAAAGCACAGCTGCCTCCTACGACTCCACAGCAAGGGGCCAAACTGACTCCCTTGAGGGCACGATTCCAATCCATGCTCAGCCACAGGGAGGTGCATCCACATTGTAGGATGAATGCAGATTGACACCACTTTGTCTGCCCCAATTCAATGCTATGGGACCCATGGAGTTGTAGTTGGGTGAGGCACAAACAAGTCCCATTATTCCACAGCATTGAGCCAAGGCACTTAATGGTGGGAATCTTTTAATTCTAGAATATATAGATCAGGCATGGGAAAACTTGGGCCTTCATTCCATGTGTTTTGGACTCCAACTCCCACCATTCCTAACAGCCTCAGGCCCTTTCCTTTTCCCCCTCAGCCGCTTAAGCCTGAGGCTGTTAGGAATGGTGGGAGTTGGAGTCCAAAACACATGGAATGAAGGCCCAAGTTTGCCCATCCCTGGTATGGATCCAATTTTAGAAAGTCTCCCCAGAGATGTTGGACTTCAATTCCCAGAAGCCTCAGCCACGATGGCCGACGGTGAGGAATTCTGGGAGATGAAGTCCGGGGATAGGATTCCACGCGGTGACGTAAGAGGCGTGCGACGGAAGCAGTGCGTTCTCTCGGCGCCGGGGCAGTTTCAGGGCAAGCGTGAGAGACATGGCGCCCGGCGGGCAAACGGGGAGCGGCAGCGGCGGGAGCTCTGAGCCGGTTTCGCCGGAGGGCCTCCGAAGCTGGGTCCGAGGCGCCTACCGCTTCGCCACGGACCGCAACGATTTCCGAAGGTACCTGTCTGTCGGTGTGTCCTGAATCCCAGCAGAAGGAGCTTCTGGGACGTCTTCCCAGGGGCCTCTGAACACAAGGGCTGGTGAGGGTCAATGGAAGGCCTGAACGGCTCTCACAGTCAGGAAGTTCTTCCTCATGTTCAGATGGAATCTCCACTCTTGTAGTTTGAAGCCATTGTTCCGCGTCCTAGTCTCCAGGGAAGCAGAAAACAAGCATGCTCCCTCCTCCCTGTGACTTCCTCTCACATATTTATACATGGCTATCATATCTCCTCTCAGCCTTCTCTTCTTCAGGCTAAACATGCCCAGCTCTTTAAGCCGCTCCTCAGAGAGCTTGTTCTCCAGACTCTTGATCATTTTAGTCGCCCTCCTCTGGACACATTCCAGCTAGTCAACATCTCTCTTCAATTGTGGTGCCCAGAATTGGACACAATATAATAATAATAAAATTTATTTATTACCCTGCCACCATCTCCTCAATGGGGACTCGGAGCTACTTACATGAGGCCAAGTCCAAATGACAATTACAATAAAGAAAAACCAAAAATGCAAACAATAAGCAATAACTTCAGTTACATAAAACATATGAATATATAACAAGGTTCAATGGTGTAGGGAACTATTTTAATTACCAATGGTTGGTGACAAAGAAAGGCAAAAAGTCTCCGTGAATGAAGCAAAAATCGTTTTATTTTCAAGTGTGGCCACACTAGGACAGACAGCCAGACAAGACATGTGTCTTTCAAAAAGGGCTGTGTGTGCCATTTGATTTCTCAGTTCATTCTTTATACACGTTTCTTGCTGTGTCATGAAACCGATCCACCTCCAGAACAATGTTTCAGAAACATGTTCTTTCACCTTCTTGTCACTTTGTCGCCTCTAAAACGGATAACCTTCTACACACTTAGAGCAAACATCCATGTTATGACTTCAGATTCCTTCTTGGATGTCATCCTGCCCCATGTCCTTGGCAACTCTGCATCCTGTCTTTCAAATATCCTATCTTCCTTTCAGCCTTCGCTGTTTTGTAGGCGAAAGGACAAACCTCTCTCTTGGGCTTTCATTTCAGCATTTCTAACTTCTCTTCACCTCATAAGCTCCACTCACCCCTTCAATGGAATATTACAGGTGTGGTCTAACCAAGGCAGAATAGAGGAGCACCATTACTTTCCTAGATCTAGACACTATGCTTCTATTGATGCAGGCCAAAATCCCATTGGCTTTTTTTGCCGCCACATCACATTGTTGGCTCATGTTTAACTTGTTGTCCACGAGGACTCCAAGATCGTTTTCACACGTACTGCTCTTGAGCCAGGCATCGTCCCCCATTCTGTATCTTTGCATTTCGTTTTTCCTGCCAAAGTGGAGTATCTTGCATTTGTCCCTGTTGCACTTCATTTTGTTAGTTTTGGCCCATCTCTCTAATCTGTTAAGATCATTCTGAATCCTGCTCCTGTCATCTGGAGTATTGGCTATCCCTCCCAATTTGGTGTCGTCTGCAAACTTGATGATCCTGCCTTCTAGCCCTTCATCTAAGTCATTAATAAAGATGTTGAACAAGACCGGGCCCAGGACGGAACCCTGCGGCACTCATGATTTGGCTTGCTGGATAGTGCTTATGTGGAATGAACTATGGACATTTCACTTGATATGATGATTAAGTATTAATGGTTTATATATGTTGGGAACCCCCTGTGGCACAACTTAGCAGTTTGAAAACTTACTTAGGCGATCCCTCGTAGTCCGAGGATGATGGTCCTCCAAGTGTAGTATCCTGTTGGTGGGTCCGTAGGTGACTATGGAGCCCTATTCTTGATCTGCATGTTCTCCCGCAGTGAGGGCATCGATTTCCAGGTGGAAGGTGGTCCCGGTTGGGATTGGTTTGATGCCCCTACCTCTTGGCATGTTTCTCTCTTTCGCCCTCCATTCATGCCTTTTCAAATTCTGCAGCACTGCTGGTCACAGCTGACCTCCAAGTGGAGCGCTCAAGGGCCAGGGCTTCTCAGTTCTCAGTGTCTATGCCACAGTTTTAAAGGTTGGCTTTGAGCCCGTCTTTAAATATCTTTTCCTGTCCTCCAACATTCCGTTTTCCGTTCTTGAGTTTGGAATAGAGCATCTGCTTTGGGAGACGGTGGTCGGGCATCTGGATAACATGGCCAGTCCAGCGGAGTTGATGGCGGAGGACCATCACTTTAGTGCTGGTGGTCTTTGCTTCTTCCAGCACGCTGACATTTGTTCACTTGTCTTCCCAAGAGATTTGCAGGATTTTTCAGAGGTAGCACTGATGGAATCGTTCCAGGAGTTGCAAGTGACGTCTGTAGACTGTTCACGTGTCGCAGGGTTGGGAGAACAATAGCTTTATAAACAAGCACCTTGGTATCACTACAGATTTCCTGGTCCTCACTCTCTGTTTCATTCGGAAAAATGCTGCACTTGCAGAGCTCAGGCGGTGTTGAATTTCAGTGTCAATGTTGACTTTTGTGGAGAGGTGGCTGCCAAGGTAGCAGAAATGGTCAACATTTTCTAATGTTACACCATTAAGCTGTATTTCTGGCATTGGAGAGGGATTGGCCAGTGACTGCTGGAAGAGCACTTTGGTTTTATCGATGTTTAATGACAGGCCGAGCTTCTCGTATGCTTCTGCAAAGGTGTTTAGAGTGGCTTGTAGGTCTTCTTTTGAATGCACATGTGAAAACATGCACATGTGAATTGATCAATAATAATAATGATAAGCTTATCCCCTTGGCTAAGCGATTTAAAACATCATAACATGTTTGATAGTGGTCAGAACTGAGAGATACAAGAGATACAATTTATTGTAAGCAAGTATAAAGGGATGCACATTGTGGGGGTGGGGGGTGGGCGGGAAGGTGAGGAAGTGCCCCCCTTTCATTAATACGCTAATAGCGACAGAGCTGGCAGTACAGTTCATCATGTCACTTCTGCCTAAAAGGCAGCTTTCATGTTGGAGAGCATTAGGAAAGGAAATATTATTAACAACATCATGATGGTATTATACAAATCTAAATTATGGCTATAACTGAAATTCTGTTTTACAATTCTGGTTGCTGTGTGGGGGCAGATATATATATATATATATATATATATATATATATATCCATCGCTTTTGGTACAAAAGTCAACAGAAAAGTATGTATTGATTTTTCCCTTTTGGTCCTGTTTGAACTGCCTGTATTCGTCAGATCTGCTGACCAGCACAAGGTCACAGGAGATATGATCTGCACACGCTGATTTTCCAGATGATTAAGATGTTTTCCTATGTATTATTAATTAATTAATGTCAACAAGTTATATAAGCAATTGTATATAAATATGTGCTCTGTTTAAATCAAGATGTGTGGAAACCCCTTGATTCAGCTGCGAGCTGAGGTTTCCCACCCTTTTCCATAGAAAAGTAAAAAGTTTTGAACTTGGAACTCTGCTCTAGCCTGGTGTCGTTCTTCCACCCCATTTGCGTCCCAACGGATAGGTTGCTGTCTGCTGCAATGGCTGCATCTCGAAAAAATATAGAGCTCTGCAGAAACAAGCAGAAAAATTATCGGGGAACAAAAAGCTCCTTTATTTGGGGAAAGTTACAATATTTGCGGGTTTTTCCACTTCAAAATTCTTAAGAGAGGACATGTGGATATAAAAAATCCACCTCCCCCTTTGAGAAATTTCTGGTTGTTCTAGGAAGTTGAATGGTGGGAGATGTAGAATAAATAAAACATAATTATGTAACACATAGTTAAATATTAGAATTTATGTCCTCAGATCCACAATTTGGACACCTTCATAAGATGATTTGAAACATTCATGGGTGTTAATTGTATTTCTACCTAAATGCTCCAGGTCCTCTCTGATTTTGGAAGCTAAGCAGAGTTAGCCCTGGTTAGTTCTTTTCCACCAAGGAATACCAGGTGTTTTTTAGAGAAAGTAACTGGCAAAACCAGGTCTGAATATTCCTTGCTTAAGAATGTAATGAATGGTTCAGTGTTGGCCCAAATAAGATAAATATGAGTGTTTGAGCGGAACTGCTGAAGAAACAAAGAAGAAGGCTAGTGTTGTGGTTCAGCAGCAGCAACAGCATGATGGGAATGAGAATACAGAGCAACAGCATGATGGGAATGAGAGGACAGATGTGGACTTTCAGTTTTCTCATGTAGCTAGAGACACAACTAGAGACAGGCCGCTGTTTTCACAAGAATGYAATGTAGCTGATAAGACACMGGGTGGGAAACAAGGTCARGCTGRCCAGGTGTTAAGAAAGAGTTCACGACTTMCAGCCAAMTGTTGAGCTCATCTYTTGGTGGGAAAATTGCTRGTTAGCTGCTTGTRTGATGCTTGATGWTRTGATGTTTAACYTAWAAGTAACCTGCCTTGGAAGTGATCCTGTGTCAGTTCCAACYTTGCAAAAATGGCTRMCTTTGGCTCRGGCTCTGGGGCTTGGGYCTTGGGAAAAGCCTGCTTCGTGTAACCTSATGCTATTTCCTGGACTTTACTRTGCTTCTTTGCTTCAAGTCTACTGCTTTGACTCAAAGGGATGATATTGGATTTTTACCTTGTACTACTGATCTTTTTACTGCTTATAATCTGCTTTGTTTGAAAAACCTCACAATAAACTTTCTACCTCACAAGTTTGGTTGGTTTGTCAGAGACAGCAAGGTGAATCTTAGCCTGAGATACAACAGTTACATATATATAAGGAAAACACTATTGTAAGTGTAGAAAAGCAATGCATGATGGTCTGGAGACTTTTGGCAATCGAAACGAAGAATAGTTGATCCATGAAATAACTTTTCCACCTGATGAATTGGTATGAAACAGGGAGTACCAGCATCTGGGAGATTAACCATTCAAAATGATGAATTGAAGAATTGAATAGGAAACAACAAAGGATACCTCCCAACTAGTACAATAAAGGTGTACCAGGTACCAAGAACCGAAAGGAATATGGAAAACAATTGGCATAAAGCATGGATTGAGATACACCTGAAAATGATATATGTGTGTGTGTGTAAGGGGGGCGGGGGTTCTATGAAGGAATTGCTTAATTCTTTGAGAAGGGCCGTTTTGAGTATGAGGATGGATGAATGAGAGAATGAATGCAACCTTGCTATCAACTTGCTGTATGATTTTAAATGCTTAATAAAAGTTACATGCAAGGTGTTTAAACTTAGATCTGGTATCTTTGGATATTCTTCCAAACCCAGTCTTAAGTTGCAAATTATTCAGTTTCCCCTCTTCTCTGGATAAGAGTGAACTTCTTTTGCTTACACTAACAAGGCTGAAGAACGCCACAAATGGGGTATGAAAGTTACATTATGGGAAGCGAGGGGAGGTAAGGAATTGCAAAGCCTTCACAGGCTGGCAGAGAAAGTGTCTGTGCAGAAAGGGACAATCAGTGACCCATCTTAAAGATAACAACAGTAGGACAAGACACATCTGGCTAGAGTGGAACAAGGAACAATTAATGGACTAATTTATTATGGAACTTGAATTAATGATTGAGGGGCCACTCTTACCCAGAGCAGAATAGAAACAACAAATGAAAAATAAACTGTGATGGATGAATCACTGATTGAGAGAAACCCCTATATAAAAAAAGGAAGCTCTACATTTTGAAGGTGTGCCAAGACTCAGCACTGCAATACCCATAAGGCCCCCTTTCCCCCTGAGTGTGAACAATTCTGATAAGAGGTGATTTTTATGGTATAGATGGGAAGACCAATTGTATGAGTGAATGAAATTTTTTTGTTTTTTATAAGCATGGGAGCACCCCCGGGGGGGGGGGGGGGGGGGGGAGAGACAGGGGACAAGGAGGTATGTCTTCATGAGTATATGAAGCAAAAAATGAGAACTCAATAAGAACAGTCACTTCCTGGTGCGCTAGAATACACACCAGGTGTGCTAGAAATGTTTATGGGTCTGAAACTATAGTTGTGTCCTTGATTATGTGCATTATGATTATTGGCATTAATGACTTTAGATAGGAAATCCTCCATGGAACCAATTGTAACCAACTATGTCAGTCATAATCATTAGACCTATTTTATATTTATTGCAGGAACCTCATTGTTAATTTGGGACTCTTTGCAGTTGGAGTCTGGGTAGCAAGAAATTTAACAGATATTGACTTGATGGCACCGCAGCCTGTTGCATAGCAGAAGTGGTAAGTAGCCAAGACTTAGGCAGGTGGCCAGAGAGGGGGGGGGGGCATAGATATATCCTGAATTTGTACCTTCTCAATCAGCTTAATAGTTAATTGAAAATATGAATAAATATGACGGTGCTTGTTCTATACAAGCAGAGCTTTAAAAAACAAACAATTGAACTCAGCCTTTGGTAGTTGCCTTTTCACTGAACTAGGCTGTTAGATTATGATCTTCTGGGGAGAATCTATATCATGGTGTCATGTCACTTCTGATATTTTTTTTTTTTTTTGCTCTGAAACTGAGTCCCTTATGTTTAGCAAAAGCCCTTTATTTAAATATGTGAACCTGAATAGAATTAATGGATTTAGCTTTGTCCATTTATGCTGCTTGATTGAGAATAAACTTATTTATTTATTTATTTATTTATTGTTTAAACTTATATGCCGCCACTCCCCTGGGGCTCGGAGCGGCTTACAAGAATAGCTAAAATCTAACAAAGTTTAAAAGCAATTTAAAACAATTTAAAAACAACAGTATCAAACATTAAAAGCCTGTCGGAACAGGTATGTCTTACATGCCCTGCGGAAAGCTGGTAAGTCCCGCAGGGCATGAACCTCAGGTGGCAGAGCATTCCAGACTGATGGCGCCACTGCTGTGAAGGCTCTGCGTCTGGTTGCCGCTAGACGCAAGGTCTTGACACTGGGGACCTCCAATAGATCTTGGTCCTCAGAACGGAGGGATCTCTGGGGTTGGTAGGGGGTGAGACGATCCCTCAGATACATTGGCCCCAGACCATGCAAGGCCTTAAAGGTGAGTACCATCACTTTGAAAGTGATCCGGTGCTCAATTGGTAACCAATGCAGCTGTAGTAAGATTGGTGTTATGTGGCATCTCATCGGAATTCCCGCAAGAAGCCGAGCAGCTGCGTTTTGTACCAACTTGAGCTTCCGAATCACCGACAGAGGGAGGCCAATGTAGAGGGCGTTACAGTAGTCCAGTCTTGAGATGACCGTGGCCTGGATCACCGTAGCTAGGTCGTCCCTGGACAGGTAGGGGGCCAGCCGTCTAGTCCTGCCGCAGGTGAAAGAAGGCGGTTCTGCTCACGGCGGAGACCTGGGCCTCCATTGTCAGCAGAGGGTCCAAAAGGACTTAGAGAAAAATGTATTGTCGAAGGCTTTCATGGCCGGAATCACTGGATTGTTGTAGGTTTTTCAGGCTGTATGGCCATGTTCTAGAGGCATTCTCTCCTGATGTTTCGCCTGCATCTATGGCAAGCATCCTCAGAGGTAGTGAGGTCACTACCTCTGAGGATGCTTGCCATAGATGCAGGCAAAATGTCAGGAGAGAATGCCTCTAGAACATGGCCATATAGCCCAAAAACCTACAACAACCCACTTAGAGAAAAATATTTCTTCTCAAAGTTGCAGACTGGCAACCTAAAACTGTCAAGCAGTGGAGGGAGGGGAAGTGTGAGTTGCCCTTCCCTTAAATTATTTGATGCCCTTATATTCCCTCTAGGGACTTCAGAAATCCCAGAAACATGGTGAGCATGCCTTTGTGTTTTGTAGAAGGTGTCTGGGGAAACTTGGAGGCAAATGAATATTTTTGTAGGCACTTGGTAGGTTTCCAAGGTCTCTTGAAGGGTTTCCAAGGTCTCCTGAAGGATTTATACTGTTTTACACCGTTTTATTGCTATATTGTTATTTAAATTGTATATTAATTGTATATTTTTGGTTGTAGACACCATGGGGTGACGGTTTGTAAGCCGCCCTGAGTCCCTTTGCGGAGGTCAAGATAGGACAGGTTACAAACGTCCAAAATTAATAATAATAAATAACGTGGCAACATAGTTTTCCACAGCTGCCTGCCTTTTCTTTAAAGCAAAATTAGACATCTGTGATATCATTTGTGCATACTTTGTAAAAATTACACTGGTTATCTAGGGTTAAATTATATTTCATCAACACTATGGAGGACATGCTAGTGTAGTTTGCATGTTTCACCTGTTTTGAGTCTACCTTAAGGAAAGTACATGAAACATAAGATTTTTAATTTATGAATATTTAACATCTGCCAGAAAATGTTAAAAAGGAGCTGAGCAGACTTGTATGCATGGGGCGAGGGCTTTACATATTTATGGGAAGGCTATATGTTACTTTAATTGTACAGCAGCATAATCCTTAATATTATTTGATTACAGATCTCTCCCTGAAGTCAGAACAGAACATCTTGCTACATGAAAAAATGAGTTGCAATTGATAACGACATTTGGCATAGATGTTATTTTCCAAGCTGCTTCTATTCCAAGTATTAGAGACATTGGCAGGTCTGCAAACTAAATTGTGAAGTAGTAGTGACGACACTGAAGCTATGTTTTACGTGTACATTTCATTATGTTCATTTCACTGGTTTGGGAGCAAAGAGTTTGGTGTCCAAGTAGAATTGTAGTCCTTGAATCTCTACTCTTTTTTGCATCAGCTATTCAAAAGCTAATAAAATGTAAGATAAAATTATTTTGTAGATTGAATTGGTTTCTGAGTTTAACAACTTCTACATAGCAAAATAAAGACATGTCAGTGCATTGGACTTTTTCTTTTTAATAGGAAATTTCAGCTTACAAAAACAAGGTAAAAAGTAGATTTACAAAAATCATAAAAACATGATTCATAATTCACACTTAAACATAGTAACAAGCCTCAGTCCTTTGTTTAAGCAGGACATATTAACTATTGAAAGGAAAAATACATTTTAGAAGGCCTAGGTGAGCCTTAATTATGGACAGTTTTCAGTCAGCAAAATGGTTGTATGGTGTTGGGAATTATGATTTCATATTGTATGTGGAAAGGAAACCATTTGGTGTTGCATAGCATTTTGGTGTCCTGGACTGCAATTCAATGCCTCTGAAGTTAATTGGAAAGTACAATTTTAATGAAGTAAGGTCCAAGATGTTGTGCATCATAAATGATTTTATTACCACTTCAGTGTCTGCTTTAAAGTTTCCTTCAATAATGGAAGGATGATTTTCCATCAAAACCATCCCTTCCTATATTGGGATGAAAAGTATTTTGATTGGAAGCGTAAATGGAATGTAACTAAAACTGCTGCTGCCATTAAAATTGAATCAAAACTTTGGAGCCAAGGGCATAGGAAATACCGCACTTAAGAAAAGATAGAAAACATGTAAGATTTTACAGTTAGAGCATGTTGTTGTTCATAGCTTTGATGACCCACAGCTTCCTATCAGGGCATAATGGAGTTGTTGGTAACTATTACATCCAGATTATGATGTAAAAGATAAATTGCTGCAGTCAAAAAATATTGTGCAATGTATTGATCTTCTGTTTGCTATCACTAATTGGCATCTTGCAAGCCACTTTCAGCAGGAGCAGTATTGAGTGGAAGAAATGAACTTAAGTAACTGACATCATACAAGGAGTAACCAGAAGTATAATTCAGGCAGATTAGCTTTCAAATCCCCACTAAAAAAAAACCCTAGCACCCATATATTTGCATTTACAGACTCACCCAGAAAACAGCTCGAACAATTTCAAAATATACTGGAGTAATTTAGCATTAGGAAAAAAAAAACTGTAAGAATTTAATTAGTAGCAATAGAGTTCTTAATGATACTACACATTATGGATGGCCAAATCCCAGAATAGTTCTTACTTACGAGGTGTAGAACAGCTAGCAATGCCTGGATGTTAAAAGGCTGTGTTTATATTCACTTTTAATTATGTAGCTTTCCTATATAGCTCTTCAGTGGCTTGGATCGGGATTCAAGGAATACGTTTGGATTGAATGGAGTTAGAAAGCAAAGCTGCAAAACACAGTATTTGATTTAGCACCAGTAGGCTGCAACTCTGGCAATTAAAATACATAAAGAGAATAGCAAAGGTTTATTGAACTTGGATGGTGAAATGAGGACCACCTTCTGTAGAGAGGGAATGGACAGACAAAACTGGAGGGATTAATTCAGAAAATAGCTCCCCTAACTTTGTGTTTTTGTACCTTGCTAAACCTGGCTTAGCGTCCAGTTTTTCAATTGATGCAAGTTTTAAAGTTCACAGTTCTTCTAAAGAGAGCAGGCTTTTCTCTCTTGCTACTCAGGTTCCACAATATACATTGTGGTATTCTGCAGAATCCTTATTGGTATATTTAGCTATTCCTTTTTACAGGCTCTCTTGGAGAATACAGTGCACTGTGTACTAAAAATAGTATATGAATGTTAAGCCCACACAGACATGCCATGATTCCCCCCCCCCCCCAAACACACACATTGAAGCAATGTCATAGTGACCATGTTGCACTCTATTTGAACTGTTCCATTTAAAAAGAGGAGATAGCTCTAGAAATTTGAATATATACTAAATTTGGTATCATGAAAGAATTTACTAGAAGTTGAAGTCTATTAATTATCCTTGTATACAGGTATTTAACTTTGGATACCATTTACCATGCAACAGTACTGAGTCTGCTTGAAGACAGGATTGAGCAATTGTCCTCATAACTGGAAATAGTAGGAAGCAGAACATTTGTTGAAGGGAACAGTTCCCCTGCAGTAATGTAACTTTATGCACACTTAAAGAAAAAACTGCCATTGAGTTGAGTTATGGGATGTTTTCTAATCACAATTAAAAATCCAATGTATGTTAGGATCAATATTCAAAAATAACGCACTTTTTTTTTTAATTTCCTGAGTCCACTGAGAATTCTAGTATTCTGGATAGAGCCAGACTGCTGACAATCACAGTATGCCATTTCTTGATTCATTGTAAGATGGATGTCCTAAAAGAGCCATGGAGGGGTGTTTTGGTTGCTCCATTTTGTTATACTGGCTGGGGCCAAAAAAAAAAAAAAAAAGCACTAGATCTCACATAGCTGTTTTTATTTAAAACAAACAAATAACCTGTAGATTGCAAGTCTGAAATCTGAGAATTAAAAAAAAACCCTCCACAATTATTCAAGTAGCAATGTGGCTGAATAGGACATACAGATCTAACACTATATGGATTCTAGAAGAAAAACTGACTCTGGGGGACTAAAATGTTCAGCCCTGATGCATAAGAGTCAAGACACTATTCCAAACTGTTTTATCAATAGGTTTATCTAGGCATTCTTTCCACATTATAGTTAAAAGAACTTTATTTTAAAGAGAAAAAAACTAATTTGAAAAAAGTTTTTACTGACAAAGATTTAACACAAAAACAAAAATTATACTCTAAGAAAATCATTTCCATTATTAGGAATACAGTCTTTAGACACGTACAGTAAAATACATCAATTTGCTGGTAGGAACCGTTTTCCCCATTCACACACAAATATGAAATGTGTAAAAAAAAGCGATGCTACTAAAGTATTGTAAAGACGCAGATTTGGGAGTGGGTGGAACTTCAGACTTGTGTCCCATGCAAAATGTAATTAGATACAAGGCACCAATTTTTTATCTTTTAAAAAACTGCTCACAAAGCTTTATCAGTAGGCAAAACTAATCTCACCCCCAATCTTCATCCCAGTTCATTAAAAAAGTTTGTCAGCAATACTGTTGGAACATTGTTGCAGTTTGTGTTCAGGACAATTAACTGACATTCAACACTCACACATTTTCTCTCAGGCATACATGGCACACAAAGAAATGTTACAATCAGAAACAGGCTGCTTCTCCATCAAAGATAACTTCTCATACACAGAAAAGTCTCCTTTTGAGTCCATAGGACACACTTAACACCAAATTTAAATACATGTTAATTTGTAGGTGTGTTATGCTTTCCCTGAAGTGAATGAAAACATTTATAGTTCAAAAAGTAACAAAAGAGTGCATTTGCAGTACAATTGAGTTGCCTGCGGCGATAGTCATAATTTTGTATCCTTGCTTGATAAAGTTAGCAATGTTTACCAAATTTCTGCAATAAAAGAAAGCTGTAACATTTTTTTACACACAAGATAATGCAGGGTGCAATTCTATAGTTAAGATGCTGTGCTTGTAAGTACAAATAGATATCATTTTACCTGTGTCTTTGACCAACAGCTGAAAATTCTGAGATTTTTTCTTGGCTTCAAAAGACTAGTGGTTCAGAAAGTCATGGCAGAGCTGTTCCTTACACTCCGCATAGGAATGCTGTTATAAATTGCAAGCTCACGGCTTTCACACGCACACACCCTCCCCGATTAAGCCATCTGTGATAAAAGTTGTGTTTTGCCATAGCTGGGAACAAAGAAATTTGCAATCTGACACTGTCACAACTTGAGTTGGTAACTTTAAATGTAATTGGAAGATGACAGTTTGGCCAAGTGGCACTGTTTTTGTCTAGGGCAATATGCATTTCTGCAAGGAAATAAGAGAGGTCTGATAAAGAGCACTGGTCATTCTAAGTCAACACTATGGAGCTTTCACAAGCGGTCCCTTGTTTTACAGATCTTTGAGAACTCGACATCAAGTTCACAAGTGAGGGATGTAACAAAATATTTTAAAGACTTGATATTCTAAATTGCTCCATCCAGCTTTATTTTTCAGCTGGTTTTAGTTACACGGAATGAGCTTTTGTTTTGTTTTCCTAAAAAATCTAATCTTTAAATGCAGTCAAGGTATCCCTGATTGTACACTTCTTACATCCTAACCCCAAACATGTTGAATCAGCAATGTCAAACCAGTTTAATGGGCTTGCTTCCTACCATGAAGCCCTAGAGAAACTCTGTGGATTAAAAGGTATGGCTGAGCTTTTTGTTTTACTCTGCAAGCATCAGAAGGCTTTTGAGTGAAGTGCCACATTGGTCATTAATACAAGTTTTCAGAATCTGGACTGACATGCCAGCCTTCTTTTAACACATACGCAAACAACGTAGTGGAATGTGGCTATGAAAATTAGTTTGGGAAGACACAATATCTGATCTGTTACTCTGAGAGGCTTCCATTGTAATGGGAAGATATGGAACTGTCGAGAAACATTTATTACTATTTTTTTCTGCCAAACAGGACACTTTAAAACAGTGTACGCAGCATAGCAAGAGTACTGCTTGCAGTAGACAGGTATAAAAGAAACAGCATAAAAATGCTATACGCTATCGCTTCCAAATAAAAGCTAATTATTACAGAAACCTCACAGTGTTGGAAACAGCAAGCTCAGTTCAAAGGACAGTTCCTTTCCTATAGAGATAACTTAATTGCACATTTTTCCACATGGCACTCCATTATGCACACAAGAGGCTACTATTCTCCTAAGTTGCTTGGGAAATGTGAAGCATTCAAATACACCTCCCTTTCATGCTCTCTTCTATATATCTAATACAGGTCACACCTATTCTTACAATACTCAGTCAAAAGATGAATATGAATGGTAGGTGTGTCCTATTTTAATGAACCTCTGTAGTTGTGATTGTTACATGAAGTATGCAGCCCTCTGTGTCTGTACCCTTGTTTCCCTGTACTAGCTATAACTGCCACAAGGAGGCATTTGTCACCAAAATGTTCTAGCTGCCACACTGTGGTCTGAGGCTGGCTGTTTTCTTGACCTTTTTGCAGCACCTGAATACTTGAGGCAGAAAGTTCTTAACTGTGGGCCTGAGGGGAAATACAGAAACAAAAAAAAGGAAAGAAGAGAAAACGGAAGGAGGGGTATGCTTAAGAGTGGCAGGCACTGAGTCTAACTTAGGATAGCTACACCCAACACTACCTTTCTTGAGCTTCTTATGAGAAAGAAGCAAGAGTAATGGTGGGGATAAATTGGCCCTGCCTTCTGCTCACATGCCTCTTACCCTAGAGGTTATCTCAAAGGAAGTGGCTATCACATGATGTAAAAATAATGCAATGTGTAGGCAGTAATGCTTGTTGGTGCTTATCTCATGTAAAACTTTCAGATGTTGATTTCTGCACATCAGGCTTCTGTTGATGAAAGGTTGAGTTTTCCCTTCCAGTCAGTTGACAAGTTTACTGGTGAAAAAATATTTTCACTATTGTACACATTTCAATGCTGCACTTCGATTTACAGAGATTCAACTTGTTCTATTGAATCAATGTGTTGCAAAGTCTACCAGGCAGTGGAATCTGAATTTATCACTGAGGTGTTTCTCATGGAGAGTCTCCTGGAATACCAGGTATATCGATACTCAATATTTGTGGTGACATCTGTACTATGCTAATCCTTACCAGTTTAAACAATAGACGAAACTCTAGTGGAATCACTGTGCTTGACACAGTCTAAGACTGCAAACCCTATGCAATGTTTTCTCCACTTCAAAAGTTTTTTGGGAGAAAAGAGCCGGAAGAGGCAAGCCCTTATGTTTTGTTGCTTTCATTCTTTTGCCATTCAGTTTTATCAGGAAGCTAGCAATCACAAGAAAACATGAAAATCCTGCACATGTCAGATCCCTGTCCACCTTTCAAGGTCCAGTTATTCATATTTGCCAGGAAAGCAGATTTCTAGCACACCAATTATTCTCCTCCCATAGCAGTATTTCCAATTAATACTGAGAACTAAACCACTGCATTATAGCTTTTGTTTTTGACAGAGGTGGAAACTGCTATCTTTATAAAAAGGCTAAGCTATCTCTGAAAGTTTTCCTTGAAGTACCTGTATTTTGCCTGACCAAAGGAATCAGTGTGAGGTAAACACTGATATCTGTTTATCACAAATGCACAATTAGATCTGCCATCTTTCATGCACTCACATCCTACAAGTTGGTCTATTTCTTAAAAACAATTAGGACCATTGCCCTCAGACTAGTTACAAACCCAGATTTTTTTTTTAAAAAAAAAACTACATTTCATGTGCTTTATCTTCAATTCAGTGAACAATGTGGGATATCCTATTTTTCCTAATTCAAGAGCACCAAGTTGTTCAACCACACCAAGATCTATGTTTTCCAAGTCTATCCCTTTTGTCAAGTTGCAACAGTGTCATGATAAAAGGTCAGCAACAGCTCTAACTAAAATCACCATGGATAGCGTATGATATTGGGAGTCACCATGCACAGGAGACCCAAGGCATGTGACAAGGATGGCTCTGGGCACCACAACTTTACTGTAGGCTGATATGGGTGAACTAATATTCTAAAACCCCATGAACTGGGGATGAGGGAAAGAAAGAAGATGATTAGGTAGAAACAATCTCCTTCCAATATAACTGAATACCTTGAAAATGCTAAGAAGGGGATATTTCACTGGAAGAATGGGGATAAGGTTTAGGATTTTGTTAGCAGGAATTTTCCACTCTTTATCTGTGTGATAATGAGTACACCCTCTGGACATTCTTTGCATATAAGAAATTATGCACATAAAAGAGGAGTTGATACGTTTTGACAGTAGCAGATGAAAAACAAAATGAGTAACTGATACAGGAAACCAAATCATCCATTGCGAAACTGGGTAGAGTCACATAATGTGTGCAGTGATCATCACGTGACAGCCAATACATAATGAAAGCCTTAAAAGCAATGTGCATCCCATAATGTCTGCAATCATTACATAGGGAAGTGGAGAATGTGGCTCCCATTGAAATATTTCTCTGATTAGCAGACACTGGAAAATATAAAGAATGAGAAAAATATTTTGTCATTTTTAAACACACTTAAATTGGAGCATGTGATACATTCTTCAGATTTTTATGTAATTTCAATTTCAATAGACTGGAATGATCACAGATGTAAAAGAGGACATGCCTGCTACACAACATAACAAGCCAGAGCAGATAAGCACATTTTGCTGGTGAGAATATCTTAACTTGAGCTTCAGCACAATACAACACCATCCACCCACATGTTGGGTTAGAAAGATGGATGCTGTATAATAATTGTGACAGCTATTTACACCAATTGGTGCAAGAACCATTTACTATACCAAGGCAGCATAGATTAAATGAGATTTTACTGTACCTATTCATCCCTTTTTTTGAAGGAATTTATATATGTGTGGTCAAAGTGATGGCTTTGTATCCTGGTTGTACACATAAGTCTGAATGCACCTATTTTTCCACGCCAATTAAATTTCTCTTGGAAAGAAGATAAATGATCCTAGACATTGGAGGCTGTTACTCTTTGTTTTGCTTAGAAGAGGGACGGGTTTACAAATACATCTGTCTTTTAAAAAAATAGATGTTCTGCTACAATCTCATAGAACAGAGTTCCACATAGTAGGAGGCCCACTTTTTCAGACTGTGGATCCAAATAATTCCTGCAGCAGTATTTTGTTCCTGCCAAGATGAGTGAACTCCAAAGGCTTTTTTAAAAAGATGAGCCAGCTGATTGAGATATTAATGCTTCCTCTCATGGGAGTGTCAATCTTCTGTCTTTATCGTTGTGTTTGGACAGCACCTGAGCTTGAAGTTGTGTTTCTGAGATACTTGCTTTGCCCTGCACGGTTCTTTGAGTATAAAAAAGAATGTAGGCCTGGGTTTTGCATACCTCCTCCACACTACATACATTCAGTTTGGAGTCATTGCAGTGGACCCAAAACCCTAAAAAAGAAGAAAGAAGGCAAAGTATATTAATACAAATAACGTATCTGAAAACTTAACTATCTGGGTTGATCCACAAAGAGAAAAAAAAAGCCTGTATCTGTGCCAATACTAAATAAGGGATGGGAAGGGAGGGGACAAAAGAAACAGGAGTTTATATTAGCTGAACAGCAGCCCTATCAGTTGAAAAGCAACTCACTTGAAAACACAAGAGATTCTCAAAATCAGATTGGGATTCTGATGCTCAAATAAAACAAATAAATGATTGCAACAGGCAGCCACAAATCTAGAAGGAGAGCACTCTGCATCTTAGTTTGCCAATGTCTTGAATCATGTTCAAGAAAAGATAATTCTAATTCTGACTTTCTCAGGTCCCCGGGAATATGCCATACTAACATTTATAAACAAAATAAAAGAAGGTGCTCTAAATATTGAGTTGGTGAAAAGTAGTCTCCAGTCACAGTGAATTTCATATCAGAACAGCACTCTTCTACAGCTTGAGTACAGACACCACTAAATTGGAAAAGAAACAATTTCATTCAATATGATGTTAAGTTGAATAAAAAGACCCTGACTCATTGAATATGAAGAGACAATAGAAGTCAGTTCTGAAACTCTACAAGAAAGGGGAAGGAAGGAAGGAAGGAAGGAAGGAAGGAAGGAAGGAAGGAAGGAAGGAAGGAAGGAAGGAAGGAAAATGTTTCTGGTCCCTTTCAGTTACACTATCATTGACACACCATCACAGAAAAAAACAAAGATTCTCACAGAAGTGATAAATTTACAAAACGAAATAAATAAAAAACGTCCCCTTGTAACAAGGCACACGCACCTCCCTCCGTGTTGTAGCAATAAGCCGTGTAATGTCCTGAGCCAAACCCTTTCCCATGATGCATCACCACAGCCGAGAGGTCATAGACAAAGGTCTCTTTGTCAAGAGAGGAGAGAGTGTCCCTGCAGCAGTAAGGTTCCATGTTTAATACCTGGTCAAAGAGGACATGGACCCCAATCTTCTCACGGTGATTACGTCCAGACCACCTATAATCCAAAGACATGCAATCAAAAGGACTTCAACTAGTTGTGCAATGAAGCTATCATAAGACTTGAAATAGTCTTGATATCCTGGGTACCACCTGCTGTGACTTCAAACTGCTGCAGTAGTAGTCTCCATAGATATAAATCTATTGGATTGAATCCACCAGTGGTTGAATGACAGAGTCAATTCCTCCCATATTTGTAATCCAAAATTACATCAACAGGCTTTAATGCCATGATTTCTTATATTCATACACATCCATCCAATGTACTCCAGGATCATGACTGCATGATAGAATTCCAGCTTACAATAGCTTGAATCAATTAACATTATCTGAAGAAAAATCAGCAAGTTTTCCAAATATAGTGCCGGGGGGAGAGGGGGGGGAGGAATTTTCATTCAAAGACACATATACGGATTATGAAAGTATTAGAGTGGATAATATTTTATCAGAATGGCTCAACAATAAACACAAGTATTCTATTATGTGCATCATTTTTTTTTTACAAATAGTGGCTTTGCTTGTTCTTTGCATGTGTCCTGAAGGAACTAAAGGAAAAGCATTATTCTAGATGTCTTCAAAAGTGAAAGGATACACTTTGTGCCACTTTATGAAATTGTTCAGCAATAAAATAATCATTCACGCCATTGTTTTAAAATTTTAAATGACCCTTGTTTCCACCACATCCAATTCACCTGAATCGTTTAAGGTGCAGTCGGAGGACCTGAGGTAGTCTGTAGATCATTAACTGCTTTTTAGCTTCACTTAGAATGAGAGGTTTGGGAGAAGACTTCCGTCGTTTGCCTACATAACATTTAAGAAAGGGCAAGTTAAAAGAGAAGACAAGTTACAGGTTTCTGGGGAAAATACTGCATATACTGAGGTTTTTTTTACTGTTGCAACAACCATGATCTATAACAGTGGTTCTCAACCTGCGGGTCCCCAAATGTTTTGGCCTTCAACTCCCAGAAATCCTAACAGCTGGTAAACTGGCTGGGATTTCTGGGAGTTGTAGGCCAAAACACCTGAGTACCCATAGGTTGAGAACTACTGATCTATACAAAAGCAGTTGGAAAACAAATGCTATAGTAATTTCTGATTAAACTTCCATGAGAAACTGTTAGCGCACAGTCAGAATGATATGACGTTGCAAGGAAATTTGAAATACGATATGTTATATTTCTTTTTGCCAATCACTTTTCAGATCCGATTTTCCCCTAAGGTTATATGTTTTGTAGGCACAGACTTTTTTGCTTTTTGTTTAGAAAAAGGTATTCCAAAAAACAAATTTATATAAATGGCTCAAAGAGTCTTTCTGGCTGATCAGAAGGATAAAAATGATATACTGATAAATAATTGAACAAATTTCCCTGCTGCTTATTTTGAAATTATTTGCAGCATTCCTATGTACACCTTTACTTAGATGCAAGTCCCATCAAGCTCAATGGGACAGGCCAGTATTACAGAGCCGAGAGACTAATATACCTACTCAAAAATAAATCTGACAAAATATAATCTCACAAGGATAGGGCTAAGGCTTGACGAAACCCTAAGAGGAAGAGCAATAAAGATAGCCTGGGAAACAAACCTTTTAATGTAAGCTGCTATTCCCACACACAGTACCACAACAATTCCCAGAAAGATTAAACTCTAATTTTTAGAGGGAGATTAACAGTTGGTAACATCAACATGAACATTTCACAGTAATTCAAAACTCTTAAATATACACATACATATGGTTTTTGAATATGTGTGGTATATTTTAAAGCCTTAATAGTAAAAAGGCTTTGGGGGAAAATAGTAAAGGAAAAGCCAAAACCCACCTGAAGTCACTAAATAAGTTCAAATCTTAATCACTACTGCATTTTCTTTTTATTAGTTTATAGTTATTGCATCCTCTTTTCACAGCATCTCTTATTACTGATCGATTACTAACAATAGTGACAGTGAAAGATAATATAGATGCCTAGCAGAATGTCTCTTACACTGAGATCAGAGAGAAGAAAGAACTAAAAAGTGGAGTGACTTTCTCATGTTCTGTAACCCAGTTTACCCAAGTTGGCTCTATAGAAACCAAAAGTTGTGAAGCGCACGTGACAGAGGAATCTATGAGTTTCCATGAGGTACTAGAACTGTTAAATGTAGGACAATGTATCATATACAGAAAAATGGTGGCCACTACTTTAATTTCAATATGAATAATAGTCAATTATAAATAGCCCCCGGTGGCGCAGTGGGTTAAACCCCTATGCCAGCAGGACTGAAGTCCGACAGGTCGCAGGTTCGAATCCAGGGAGAGCGCGGATGAGCTCCCTCTATCAGCTCCAGCTCCTCATGCGAGGACACGAGAGAAGCCTCCCACAAGGATGATAAAACATCAAAACATCCGGGCGTCCCCTGGGCAACGTCCTTGCAGACGGCCAATTCTCTCACACCAGAAGCAACTTGCAGTTTCTCAAGTCTCTCCTGACACGACAAATACGCACACACAATTCTTTGCCTTAAAGGTTCCAAAGAAAAAGAATACATGGTAACATAAATTTTGCTAGGTGCCTGAATATTACAGTGAAAAGCATGGGCCTATTGGAAATGAAGACTGTCTTCTTTAAATCTTCTGAATGCTCTTTTGGCTTCTATTATTGTTTGAAAATTAACCATGTCAGTTTTGTGAGAGGAGGAAACATTTTATTCCTCTGATCTATATCCTGCTATGTTCCCAAAACTAGGATAACACAAATCACATGCAATTGCAACTGTCCCAAAGTGGACATTGCTGAACAAAGTCACCATGTCCAAATATAGGAGACAATGTGGAAAGGATCTATATATCTAGCAGATTAATTTGATGCAAATGACAAATACTGAAATACATTGCAGAAATTTTATGGTGCTATTTTCTTATTCTTTAAAAAAAGAAAGAACAGGTGCAAAACTGATTTCACCTCAACAGCACACACATACCCAAGTTAAACATGTCTAAAGATGGAAGAAACTAACACCATTCCCACATTATTGCTTTCCCCTAATGCGTCTTCTGTTTTTCAGAACACAAAAAGTTCAGATGCTTCCATTAAAGGAAAGACAATTTCTGTCAAAAAGTCTTGCTATTCATGTGTCAGTAACCCACCTAGTTATGACGACTTATCTGTCTCAACAATCTGGCAGAAAAATTACACATTTCCCCTTGCTTGGGGGAAGGGGCATATACAGAAAAACTGCTGCATGTATTTTTAGCACCAGAGAAGGATCTATGTAAAGGAGTCAAAGAGGTTGACAACATTCTAAGTGAAGTTAAATCTTTTGTAGAAGGGTTGTGCAACTTTGCCCCACCAGTTTTTTAAGGTTTTTTTTTTTTTGTTATTTACTGCAACTCCCATAAAGCTCATAATTTCCTATATTGACTACAGCTGGTCGGAGTAAGAGGCCAAAGGGTTGGGGGGGGGGGGMGAGTCACAGTTGCCCACCTTTGCTTTCAGTCTATGATATTCAGTATCCTTGCTGGAGTATATAATAATTATTTCTGAACGGCTCAGTAAATATTTAAAACCCATAAAATGAGCATCTATTTGGGTACACAGGCATGCAGGGACATTTCTTACGTGATACAGTGGAAAGTTAAATGTGCAAGTCACAGAGCAGTTCTTTACTTACTGTTGCACTGGTCACATGCATAAATTCTCCCTTCCAAAGCTTCTGTTTCTGTGAATTTGGCCAACATTTCAGTAAGCATGCACTCCGTCTGATTAACAGGCACAATCCCTTTGTTGATGGAGTGATAGCGTTCAGGGAATTCCAGGGAGAGATCCCAGAAGGGTTCCACAGTATTGGATTTATAGTTACATGTTATACAGGTGACCTAGCAGGAAAACATGTATTCAGACATTTCTGTGTACTTTGCAGCATATAAGCATTCTCATTACAAGGCCAGTGGCAACCAGGACAGAATGGCATGTTTCTGCTCTTGCTGACCCAAATCTGTAACCCTCTGTAAGATGGAGACTGTGCTTTGAAAAATATGCATCTTCAGAAGAGTTTCCTTTGTATAATGCACAAAATATAAATATTTAGTTCAACTGAAATCTATGGCTAATCAGATCTGCAAAAAATGACATCGTTAATTGATCTGAATTACTTGTTTAAATGAAAAAAATGTTTAACAGTGACACAGTTAAATTAAAAAACTCTATTACATTAAGTAATCTTGTCTGGATAATTTACTGAGATAGCTATAACTTTCTTTTAAAGGTTAAATTAGTATATGAGTGGCAGAATCCAGTTCTTTAGTTTATTTGTACAGTACGTGCAAAACCATGTTACATTGTGTAGTTTCAGTAATGTTGTTCTTCGGGAAACATCTTGTCACTTGTTTCACAAAAAACTGCAGTTGTACTTTAATTCATTTGCCTGATCAAACATATGAAAGTAATAAGCACATTGCAACACTTCATAAACTGATCCAAACCACAGACTGGCATTACATGTGCGAATCTCAATGATATGAGTGAATCTGAAGTTTGACACCTACAACATACTTTGAATTCCATCCTGACTTCTAGTGCTAGAGAACCTATAATTTGATGGTCTGGAAGCAATAATATGAACCAGAAAGTCAGGAAGGGAAACAGAGCTCATGAATGTAGGGTGGATCATGAAAGCTGTGGTAAGACATTACACAAGAACTAGCCTGAAATGTTTCATAGCTGTGCAAGACTCTAAAATAAGGATAATACAATTATGATACTTTGCTTTAAAAAGGGTGTGGGGGGGGGGGAGGGGGGGGAGGGGAGGGGAATAGAGACATTGTTTTTTATGCAGGACTCCTCAGTAATAAAAAGCAATCTCTACCACATTCTGCCAAGAGGTAATTTTGGATTAATATTAAAAATCACATAAAAGAGACTAGAACAAATGCAAGGAAAACAGGCACATTATTGGACATAAAATGTCTTGTCTAAAAAGAAGTTTTACACCTGAATGATAACTACATATTTTGTAAAACACACACAAGAATATTGAATTGTTCAAAAGTATCGTAACAAAAGCAAAACTGTGTAAATGCCTACCTGACTGAGTAGCTGCCCATGAAAAATGGTGTTCACCACTTTCAGGACTTGCTTGGTGAGCTTCCTCTGCGAAAAGGGGATGAGGATCCTGCGTTTCGTTCCTTCAGATTCCAGCTCCTGCTGCACCTTGTCCAACAATTCACAGAGAAATTCCTGAGCATCTTGCTGATCATAACCTCGAAACGCTGGAATCAGACTCCATACAGAGTGCAGCATGGCAAAAGGAGACACTGAAGCCCACTTCCCAGACCACATAACTCTGAAAAGTGTGTGCAGTTCATGACAGAGAGAGATGTGCTTTGAACTTGGCTCCTTGGGCTGTGTTAGTTCTAAACTTTTGCTTATCGAGGACCCGCCATTCAAGCCAGCTGGCAGGCTCTGCCTGCCATATGAACCCAATTGATCATTTCTACCTGACTCGGTAGGACCAAGCCTACTGAGCAGCTTTCCAGACATTCTAGACTTTCCATTCACGGTCTTAGCTAAGAGTTCTTCAGTTTCACAAAGATCCAGCGTCAAAAAACATTCTCTAAACTTCTGGAGGTGACTTAATACTTGAAGAATAGAATTCATGTAGCATGTATTTCCAAGATTCTTTAGTCCAGTCACACCAGGTGTCATGAGAGGCTTCCGCCGAATGGAATAAAACTGTTTGAATCTGCTCCTTTGCACTCGTCTTGAGGTAGGGGAACTTGCTTCCATGTCTCTGAACTTTCGAGGAATCAGATTCTCTCTGCGAATATGTGACAAAAGCCTAGCACTTTTTCTTGGAGGGGTGCTCGCCAGTTCCTCCAACAATCTCCGCTTCATCTCTTGACGCCGCTGCCTGGCCATTTCTTTTTTTCTCTCTAGTTCTTCCATTTGTTTCTTTTGTTCGAGCTTTTGCTGGCCTCTGGAACTCTTATCAAACCAGGTCTTCAGTGCTTTTGCTAGCAATGACTGCCGTCTGTACCAAAGGGCTGTAAGCATCTGAGGCTGTCCCTGAGGGACCCTCTGATGGTTGCAAACATCCTCCCCCAAAGCCATTGACCGCAGCGTCCTCCCACTTCTAGCAGATGGGTCATGCTTCTGACTTTTAATTGCCGATAGAGAACTTCTTAGTAATTTCAAGTCACCCTCGGGATTATCGTTCAATACATAGTCTTCACAAAGGTAACAGAAGACATAGAAATCATTCACTTCCATTGCCAAAGGATGCCTGGTTTCTTCAAAGTGTTTAAGTGCATGGTCTTCAATATATCTTCCACAGGCCACATGGGAGCATTTCAGGCAAGCCCAAATGGATTCTGTGGTGTTGCAGTCCATGCAGTGCCACTTCTGGGGGTTCAGAATAGAGTGGTCTTGGGCAAGTCGTAGCCGCCCAACATGTTTGCATCTATCCATGTCTTACATAAAGCTCCACTGCTTTAACCTTTAAAAACAGACAGGAAAGAATTCAAACACTGGATGCATTAAAAGAATACAGTCATATAGATAGCTTACAAAATAAAGCAAAACAAAACATACATACCCTAGTTTTCTACAAAGTCGTTTACAGCATAGTGTAATACATTACATTAAAAAGCAGGAGGAGGAGGAACTGGATCAGATGAAACTCTCACTAATTATTTGGTCAGTGCAGGTTTTCTTTCAATAGGAAGGGGTGATGGTGGATGGATGGATGGATGGAAGGAATTAAAACAAAATAATTTGAGGTGTCATGATTTCATCTGGTTAGTAAGGGAAAAACCAATAAAGTAAGAAGAGATTTTTCTTTTTACTTGATTGATCGATTGATCAATCAATCAATTGATAAAATGAGTTTGGCTCCTTTCCACCTTTTAAAATTATCCCCACCTTGAAAATTTCTACCACAATTGCTCCAAGTTATATGAAAGTTTTCAAGCCCAAAGTGACATCTTAAGTATTGGCTGATTCTGAATGAAGTAGTATGTTGCAAATAATGATACAAATAGATATATTTCTTAATGCTAAATTATGCCAGAAGTGTACATGAAATATTTTGATTTCAGCTTTCCCCATATTGTATATTGATGACAAAATTTTGGGATGTTGCAGCCCCTGATCAGCAAGGGTAGATTACAAATTTAGGAAAAGTGATCAATAAGCCACCTATAGCTTTCAGTTTTCATTACAGTTGCCCTAAGGGCCTCTGCCCCAATTCCTCTCTGCATATTTCTCACAACATTTTTTTCAGGTGCTAAAATAGTATTTTAGCCCACAGAATTCTATGTGATCAGGCCTTTTAGGGCAAGGATGGGCAGCTGTAGTGGATTCAAGTTTTTTTTTTCTTGAAAGCCAGAGGGACATGTACAGGGACTGCCATAAATGCTTCCCTAAATCAGAACTAGTACAAAATCCACTTCTATTTGTGAAAACATGGTTTTGGTATTCCTGTTTTTTTAATTATCAACAGTGAAACTAAATTGAGAAACTTATTCAAAAGATTAGTTACCATCCCTGCAGGCTCATAGAAAAAGCAATCTAACCTCCCCCCCTCCCCTCCCTGAAATTCTGCAGGAATCTAGGGCCACAATTTGGCCTTGGGACTGTACTCTGCTAACCCCACTCTAGCCTCTTGTTTTTCCCTCAAGAATCTTACTTATGGAAAAACCATGAAGTTAAGATGGACTATAACAGCTACTAATAATTTCCTAGAAAGAACTGTAAAATATTTTCTGCCCAGAAAGAATAGGCTCAAAATCACAATGGGAAGAAGAGTTATGCCTCACCACACTAGATAATGGATCCATTTTAAATCCAGTTTCTGCCTCCTGCAGAATTCTGGGGCATGTAATTTAGGGAGGGGCTTTTAAACTGCTCAGCCAGGCAGGTCCTGGGCTTCAATAAACTACAAATCCCAGAATTCTGCAAGAATCAGAAACTGGATTTAAAGTGGATCCATACTCTGGTGTGATGAAGCTGTAATAAGATGCATATGCCTTCATCTTTGCCTGTCTTTCTCATGGTGAGGAAGTGAGACATTGTAAAAAAACAAAGTGTGTGGGGGCAATGCTGTTTGAAAGAAGTGGGCATCTGCAGCCCTACCTATCACTGATTGTGGGCAAGCCCACTTCTGGCATACTTACACACTGTCTACCAGGATGGTGAAAACGTTGCTCATCCCACATACATTAACTCAACAAGCAGGCAGGATATTTGTTGCTCAGAAAAAAAATTCTGAAATTTGGGGGGGGGGGGGGGGGAATCCCCAGATATAGAAAAAGGAAGTTTAAAACAAAGAAAAATTCTTACCGATTCATATTTAAATACTCTCGCAACTCAATGACCCCAGGTTGGAACATCTCCATTTCAATCAACTGAAGTTTCAGAAGTTCTGGAATTTAGTCTCAACTTATGTCTTCATCAGAAAAAGGCAATGCAACAAGAAAACCCTGTAAAAAATAATCCTGTAAAATATTTGTAAACAAAGCACAATCCACATAGTTTTAGAACACGAATAATTTATCTTGTGAAAGAACTACTGTAGAAAATATGTTTTAATGGATAAAAACTAGCTAGAAATAACATACCACTGATGAAATGTTAAATGAAAAAGGCACTCTGGATTTTCCTTTGTTCCAGAACTTTACAGAACAGTCTGCTAATCAAACTTCTAATGAACTACTATATTGTACTGCAAAGCAAAAGCTAAAGACACCCCCCACCCCAAGACAAATGTTGAATTTCTTTGATTTTGGATGAAAAGAGGAAATAGCTTGTTTGTGGAAAAATTCTACCACAGCTTTGCTTCCTATAGGATTTTAGAACATGTCCGTGCATGTATAAAGAAAATAAGACAATAACATACTACAGAAATTAAGTTAAAATGGAAATGACCACATTTATGAAGGTAAATTTTAAAGGAATGGTGTGTCTGAATGCAATAAAATAGTCATATTAAAACACCAGTGCAAGCTACAGTTCCATCATCACTGTGAAATACATATTGTTACAGATGTGCTTGATGCTACTTACTAATGAAAATAATCCCTGCAGACCAAAAAATATCTGTGAGTACATAGTAAATTATGCCTCACATTGTTGTATGCTCACAGCTAAGGCAGGCTCTCCTTTCCTGGAGGATCCCCTTTTGTTCTGGAAGCAATCCAAGTTATCCTCTGACATTTAAACCCACAGGGGATCTTTCTATTTGCATGTCTTTGGCCTCCCACTAAGCAGATTTCAATAGCTATGACATCACTGAGATGGGGTTGGCCAGGGGTGCTTGCCTTGAGAACTTTCCATGAATTTTAGCAAAGAACAAAGCAGTCACATGGGATCTTGGAGTGAGAGGGAAGAAGGAGTAGGGAGACAAATAACAAACTCCCCTGAAAGATTATCTGGGGGAGGGAAAATGCCTTGTTCTTTTATGACCACTTCTACAACAAATATTTGGGTCACATGTGAGGCACTATATGTGCTGAAAACTTATTGTGAACTAGAAATACATCAAGAAACTGGAACACAACCCATAAAAGCCATATCTTTTCATCTCCCAACTGAAAGAAAAGCTTAGTATGGTACAAATAATGCCATTTTTTATGTCTCTTTTCAGTCATCCTCCCTCTCACAAAAATTATTCCCTTGCTTTCCTCCACTCATTGTTAAAATACCTCCATATATTGTTAAAATTTAGAGTATAAGACGTTCAGAATCAGGGTCTGTCTTTTTTGCATTTTTTGCTATATTCAGTATACTACACGTTGATAATGCTAAGGAATCTTACTGACCACAGTTGACCTAGCCTGTCTATTAAGTAAAAAAGATTAAACAATTTTTTTAGATTGCCAAAATAAAGTGTGCTCCTAAGATTTAAAAAAGGCATCAAAGAGAACCTGTAAACTGAATTCTAAACATCAGTAGTCAGGTGAACACAAATCACATATTTTTACATGGAGCTTTTTCTTTCAAATATCTTTTTAAGAACATTCAGATGTGTAAACTAGTTGCAGCAATGGTAAAAAATCACCAGAGTGCAGCACTGAGTATGTCTGTCTCAGTATCACCAACTACATCAAGCCATCCGTCTGTGCATTTAAGGTCAAAGTACTGATTTTTAAAAAATATTCACAGACCAGCAAAAAATTAGGAGGAATTGTCATATTCATGTGCTCATTATGGTTCCAAGAAATGTGCTAAAGCAATGGAAGTTGCAAATCATACAAAAATAGCCAAAATAGACCAGTCTAGCCATATGTGAACACTTACACAAATATTATATACGGCATATATTACAAGAATAAGTATAATAGAGGATATGAAATCATTCATGAGTTAGAGAAAGTGAAGAGAAAACAGTTCCTTTCCCTGCCTCGCACCTTGTCCTAAGTTATCTATGGGATTTAACATCACTAGATATCCAGACTGGATTTATACTCTGACCTTCCACCAAAGAGCTCAGAGTAGATCTTTTTACATCCTCCTCCAGACACTCTGTTCTGTAGATATCAATCACTGAGATAATGCCATTTCCCTAAGGCTATTCTGGAAGCTTTATAGCTGAAAAGAGATCTGAACATGGGTTTTACAGCTCAAACCTAACATTCCAAACACTGTATCATATCAGTTCATATTACAGTAACAGTTATTATAGCTGCTACAGTTTAAACTGGTGTTAGAATTCTTATTTTCGGATCCCAAAATATAAGGAGAATGTGTGTGGAGAATGTTTATATAGAAATATTGTTTGTACAGATCTGCTTGAAAGCAGATTAAACACACAAGGATGGAACTGGCACAGGCTTAAATATGGTGATCCATCTCTTCTGTCCTTTAATAGAGTGTGCCAAATTTAGAGTCTCAAAGTAATTTTACATCCATGTTTTTGAGAAAAAAACATTTGAAACCAGTCCAAATGTTTTTCTTAAAGAATGAATATTCCAATATACATACTTCATGAAATGATCCTCATTAAGCCTTAGAGAATATCCCAAGTCTAATTCTTTAATACAGGACCCACCTTGTACTTCTGCTATGTCCCTTTAGCTATGGATAACAACAGTGAATAATTGCTATGGGAAAATATGGTTTCCTATTCTCTAAAATTATTCATTTCCAGATCTCTTAATTATGTGATTGCATTCTTAATCAAAGAGGGCAATCCAGTGTCCAGTCCCACATTGCACTTGGTTTGTTTACTTGAGCTGTCTAACCAGATCCACACATGTGTAGTCTTCAAGCAGATTCTGCCTGCTTGCCTTTCTACCACCATCTATTTAATTTTGTGGGATAATCTCTCCTGACCATCATTCCAAGTGTTCTAACTGTTTTAGAATCTATGCATACTTTCTGAGTAGAACAGTTTCACAAATTGGTTTAGAATCTGTGGTTTTAAATCAACTATTGCTTTTTAATAAAGATATTGGGAATGTACAGCTTATATATAATAATAGGCTGGCCACTTCCATTATGCTCTCCTACCACTTTTCAACATAATTCAAGATTGAATATAGTAAGTGAGTTCCCCAAATACTCCGTTGGCAACCAAGATAGTGCGAGCTAAGGCCATATTTACTGTTAGTATTCAGTGCTCTCTGGGATCATCACAGAAGGTCTACCCAGGTGTAAAGCATCCAGTGTCATAGGTTTAAACTTTGTTTTCTATCAGTGTACTTGGTGATACTTTAAAAACAATCAATACTGATAGTTTCTTACCTTTTCTTCCTCAAAAGAATTTCAAGAAAAAAACTAATTGTTACTATATCACCACACTGTTGTCTTAATAATGAATGAAGTAAGGGCATTTCATTCAGATATCAAACACCAAAATAGCTAAGGCATGAGCAAACTGTTTCAAAAGGAGCAGTAAGATTTATAAACCATGCCAAAGAAATAGGAGAGCTTGGCCACAGGACAAGAAACAAGGCTCTCACAGAAAACTAGAATAGCATCCTATATTACAATTGTAACTAACCAAAGAATTAGAAATAAATGCTTTTAAAGCCCTCGGCAACAAAAGGGGAAAAGAATGATTTATATGTGGGTTGCTCTAAGGCAGGGGTCCCCAAACTTTTTAAACCGGGGGCTAGTTTACTGTCCCTCAGACGGATGGAGGGCCGGACTATAGTTTGGTTTTTTTTTAAAAAAAAATCAATTAAAAAATTCCTCTACACATTGCACCTATCTTATTTTGTTGTGTGGAAGGGCCCTTAGAGGGGGTTCTTTCTAGCCCTCTTTAGGCAGTAATTCCAGGAGAAGAGAATGGGAAATCTTCCTATTTCTAGTCTGATCAAAAATCTGGCTACCAGTATTTAAAAATCTCTAAAATTATAACTTTAAATAAAGAACAACACTCTAACACAGGGGAACTCCAGACAAGAAACAATCAGGGCCAGCTAATCATCTCTCAACAAAGGATTCTCCCTAAAAACTGTCAGGCTATGAAAAGGTAATCAAGGTGGCCAATTGAAACAATTCATACCTGCCTCCAACAGACAAGACTTCTTTCTCCCACCCTGGATCTTCCACAATTTTCCTGGTTAAAGGTAGTCCCCTGACATTAAGTTGAGTCATGTCTGACTCTGGGGTGTGGTGCTCATCTACATTTCTAAGTCGAAGAGCCAGCGTTGTCCATAGACATCTCCAAGGTCATGTGGCCAGCATGACTGCATGTAGCACCGGGGCAGCCTCCCTTGGCTGGCTCACGCTGTCCATCAGGCCTGACGGATAGCGTGAGCCTGCCAAGGGAGGAGCAGGCCCGCGCGGCCTACTTGTGAGTAAAGCACCTCGCGAGGTGCTTTACTCGCGAGTAGACCACGCGGAGCAGCCTCCCTTGGCTGGCTCACGCTGTCCGTCAGGCCCAATGGACAGCGTGAGCCTGCCAAGGGAGGAGCAGGCCCGCGCGGCCTACTTGTGAGTAGACCATGCGGAGCAGCCTCCCTTGGCTGGCTCGCGTGGCCTACTGGTGAGTAAAGCAGTTTGCGAGGTGCTTTACTCGCGAGTAGACCATGCGAAGCAGCCTCCCTTGGCTGGCTCACGCTGTCCATCAGGCCTGACGGATAGCGTGAGCCTGCCAAGGGGGAGCAGGCCCGCGCGGCCTACTTGTGAGTAAAGCACTTTGCGAGGTGCTTTACTCATGAGTAGACCATGCGGAGCAGCCTCCCTTGGCTGGCTCACGCTGTCCATCAGGCCCCATGGACAGCGTGAGCCAGCCAACGGAGGGGCACTGTGTGGGGGGGGGCGCTCCTCCTCTGCGGGCCGGATCGGGGCCCTTGGCGGGCCGGAAGTGGCCCGCGGGCCGTAGTTTGGGGACCCCTGCTCTAAGGTTTTTGGGCTGTATGGCCATGTTCCTGAAGCATTCTCTCCTGACATTTTGTCTGCATCTATGGGAGACATCCTCAGAGGTTTGATTTTAACAGTTCAACAGTTCAATTTTAACAGTTCAATAGCTGAT